CTAGGTGCTAGTTCTCCCCGTGCCAGTCGCCTGTGCCATCTCCCGCCTTCGGTCTTCCTGACTCTGTCGCGACACCGGGTCCAGGTGGGGGAGGAGGGTGCGATAGGTGCAGTGAAAGTCTGTTACCATTGTAGACGGATTCATGCGCAAGTCAGTGTTCCTGCTCTCACCCTGCTGTGGAACACACGGTGAACACAGTCGTGAACGACGGTCAAGCTGTCGGTAACGGTAGTAGCAGTAGTCGCAGGAGTGGCGAGCATGTTAGTCATGTCGTCATTAAAGTCACTTTAAAGATTGCCATTGTTTTAGGCAATCGACCCCCGTTCCATCTCTCTTTGATCCCCTTGAATGTCGCGACACTGTGTGAGCCCTCTCGAAATTAACATTGTGATTTGGTCAGAAAGTCTTCGACTTGGTATTTTTGGAGAGTGAGGAGGAGAGGAGACAAAAAGGAAAAGAGAAGATTTTTCGGTTGCGTTTTTTCATCTCCATAACTGCCTGCCTGAATCTGATCATTGCGCTCGAAATGAGCCTTAGATAAACCGGCAGCTCCTAATTCAGACCCGGGGCTGCGTCCATCACGTTCGGTATACGCCCAGTGCCCGAATCAGACCCAGTACTTACTTTTCCCCTCCACATGAGATGTTCTTGTGACACCGGACGGGGGCGTATCCTTAAGTGTCTTCAAAACTTGCTTCAAGGACGCCGCCAGTAACACCGACCGATGCTAAATTCTCATGGTCGGACGGCCTGATACCACACAGACGGCCGATAATCTTCCGTTGGCGTCTGTTCCGTCGCAGAAAAGACCAGCGTTGAGGATCGAGACTTCCAGGTACTGCATACGCAATGCACGCGTTTTCATAGAGAAGCGGACATTGCAAAGTACACCAAATGAGTCATCCTAGCTATATCAATTTCCTACGACAGCGCGCAATAGCACATCGGAGTCGATGCCAACGGGGCTGCGCAAACCGGTCCTTTGCTGTGTCGGTCTCACCGCGTCTGTTGGCCTACCCTTGCTATTCTTAAGTATTGTCTTTCGTCATAAATTAATATTTCGACTTGAAGGCTTACCATGCCGGTTGCCTTTTCTGAGCGCCTTGTAAAGTCCCACTTTTTGTATTAAGAAGATCGCGCGGGTTGCTTTGGCTTGAAGCTCGTTTTAGATAGCGGTTTTCCTGTGCTGGGTGTTAGATCTTCCTTGTCTGTGGGACAATCCCTATGTTGTCCGCGTTTATGGGGATTGAAAAAAATGAAGTCTTAAACGCATTTTAATGTGGTTATCGAGCTCTCCACTAACTGGTCAACCAGAGTGGTCCTCAGATAGGGAGACTGTTCGAATGAGGCTTTCTCGGCATCCCCTCTGTGTCTGTTTTTGATAGGCGCCGTAATCAACTGTAGACGACGACGAACGTCTACGGTCAAGCCGTGCGCAATACTAAGTGGACTGGACTACAGACAGCCATCCCGGTCTGTTTGCTGTCCTCCAAACACTGGAAGTTCGTGCGATTTAACGTCTTTGGTAAAGCTGTTCAGGTGTTGTTATAAGGAACTGCAGACTATGGTGAACATCCGTAGGCAAGGCCGCCTTGTGGCAAACGGATTGTTGCTGTTAGGTGGGAGATTTCTCTCCGACGCTGTCGACCCTTAGCAAATTTAATCAGAGTGCGCCCGGGTGGCCAACCTCTAGTCGTTCAAAGTAACGGTTAAGTCGTGGATCGCAGGACAGCGGTTGTGTGGAACGGTTTGCTTGGGGGATGCTTTCGTGTATCAATTACGAACTTCTCCGTCCGATACACCAGGTTAGGGTTTTATGATCGCCTTGGACAGTAAAAAGTGGAGCCGGTTGGAGTTGTGGCCAACGTTGCGTGTCGTCATGCCCGAATTAACTGCGACTTGAGGTCGGTGTCGACTCACGCCGAAGACTTACTTTTCGACGCCCGTAGACACGCTGTGCGGCCTTCAAATGAGCTTGCAGACAAGCCCTGTCTTCTGGAGGGGGGGGGGGGTCTCATGTGCCGAGCAGATAGGACTGGGTTAACCATATCTGCCTGTCTGCCGACTGCTTGCCACAATAATCATTAACTCGTAAACGTAGTTGCCCAGGTCTCCTGCTTTGTTAGTTGCCGCTGACTTAGAAGATGTTCTGCCCTACTCCCCGTCAGTCTTATTAAACTTTCGAGATCTCATGACCTAGTCTTCTTCGATAGGTCACTAGACGTGATTCGGTGCCTAAATCGACGCGACCACAGCACTGTTTCAGGCAATGTAAGCAAGAATGCAGGCTTTCAGCGCTTTTTGTCACTGACGCGAAATGTCCGGCTTCATTGTTTGCCGACTGGCAGTTCGACTGGCGTTCAGCCGTTCTGTTACCCCTGCCCAATCATTTTCGTGGGAGTGGGTGTACTGGGTGCATTGAGTGGGCAGGGAGGTGGTCACTGATGATTTGACAGTCGCACCAAACGTATATTGGACTCTGGATCCCGGTTCTTCTCTGTGGATCCACAGTTCTCTGCTGGTGCGGCAACCACCCGAAAGGAAAGTACGTGGGTATATCTCCGACGTCGTTGTATTCATGTGAGGCTTAATACAATTGCATGAAGGAAACCATCCGCGTCTTGTCATGTCTGCACAGAAGCCCTGTGATTGACCAACCACCACGCCTCGGCCATCTTGATTTTGAGGGTGAGAAAAGAGAATAAGGCCATTGCTGTGCGCAAGTCACGCCTTACTCTCCCGCAGTGGGACAAGCGAGGCTGGGTCAAGACGTCGGGTCTTTTCTGCTTGACCGGTGAATTCCTTTGTGATTAATGCTCCCAGCGGCGGACAAACGCGTCTCCTATGGTTCCTGACTTTGCCCCACCTCATGTTACTCGCAGAAACATCAGCGTTCTCCCTTACATCACCGAGAAGGCCGCTGACACCCTTCCCGAGGAGTGCCGTCAGGTGCACCGCCTTTTTCGCTCCGAGGCAATCCTTGTAATCCTCTCCGATCTAACTGGTGTCGGGCTGCACCCCTTGGCTGCCGCCAGCAAGAATTTGGAGACCCCTTCTGCCAGCGGCGATGCGCAAGCAGTGAGTGTGGCGCCCTTTTTGACTGGCCATTTTTTGTGGTTAATGCTGTTGTTGCCTGTCCTACCTAAATTCCTCTCTCCTCACAGAAAGTGGAGGAGGCCTCGGAGGCCAAACGTCGCAAGACAGAAGACGGTGATGACCCAGCCACGTGCCCGAATGATGAGCCCGTGGCTGAGTTGACTGCGCCTCGATTCCACCGCTGGAAAGCGGGTATGTACACCCTGCTGGCAGACGCGGATTCCACGGTACTCGCCGCGACCACTGCGAAAGCGACACGCAATTGGCGTCTTGATACGTTCTACCACATCTCCGGCTACGGGAAATGTCCACCGGCTGCGAAGAAGGCTAAGCCTGCGGCGGCCGACCAATGGCAAGGCCAAATAATCTACATATCGCGGTCCGACAACGAGGAGGTACCGATTTGAGTTTACGAAAATGTGTCTACTTTTTATTAGTAGAAACAGCCGATAAGGTCACATAATCCACACTTATTTCCGCGATTTTGCACAGCTTTTGCGAATTGCACCGGAGGACAACGCCTTAGCCCTCGTCTACTGCGACTCAGATGCACAAAAGTTCACCAGGTATTTGAACAACCGGACAAAGCCAGTTTCCACAGAGGTCGGCGTGGAGCAACAGTTTGCCTACGAACTCTCCCTTACCTACTTCGATCCGTCTCCCAGTGAGGAGGACGAAGATGGTGGCTCGCAATTACTGGAAACTGACTCCGAATCTTATGAGGACTATGATGAGGATGATTTGGAGCAGATCGAGGAGGATGAAACCGGTGACGAGGTGGAGGCGGAAGAAGATCAAGAAGCAGAAGTTGATGCGCCATCAGGATCTGGATGACTCATCCTACTATTTATACGCATTTCTACATTGAAATATAACCTCTTTCCGAGACCTTTGTACGGTGATTTCCTTGATGTTTCAAAACTTGCCGGAATCAGGGCAAATATTAGAATCACAACTTCTAAACGCTGGCAAAATTGCCTAGATGGTTTGCCGTCAGCCGTCCATCACCCTGATCTGGCAGTGAATTGGGGTGCGCAGTCGTCGACCGGACAGACTGTTCCAACACGGCTGCTTCATTTTCACACAAACACATCCGCGTCCAGCAGCAGGCCCTACCAAGCGGGGCGTCCCGATGTTCCCCTAAACCCACATGGCGCCCACATTTGCACCTGGCGCTCGCTACCCTGGCTGTGCTGGGTTAGCATGTGTCCGTGGCTGCTCCCGTACCTGCAATAAGCATGCCTCGTACCACGTCAGCCGCTTCAATCTCATCGCCAGCCGATTACAGGCTCTGACTTCGCATCGGTGCATGGTGGTGGAAGTAAGATTAACACAGTTCGTTTGCATTGCCTGGGGTCCGCACCACAAAAAACATTAGGCGCCAACTGATAGGACAGCACAGCCTCACCGAATTCCGAGGGAGAAGCCGCAGTGCTCCCCTAATAACGTGGCCCGCATGACAGTCGTGCGTGCCAGACCCGAGGCCCCTTCGTCGGGACCAGGCCGCGTGTGTGGCATGTGAAGATGAACTGCTTCGTGCTCTCAACTATCGTGCCAATGCCTACGTCCGGTGGTTTTGGCCGGACACGGTGGGTGTGGAAAGACTAGAGTGAAGTATGTGGATGTCTCGCAAGTGCTGGGTCGTGCGCGAGCTGCGGCTGCGCTGCACTGGAGCTGGCAGTGGCTTGCGGTATTCTAGCTGGCGTCATGCGGGATGTGCGACGACTTCGACCGTTGTCTTAGTCCTTCCCTTATTTGTCCGTTCGAAGTATCGGTCTCTATTCAATGGCAAGAGGGTATCGCCTGCTCGAAAGGCTTGTCCTGTCAGGGCTGGTATTCTGGCTGACAAAACTATGCGGCGGTTATGGGTATCTGATAGTTTGCTATACCAGGACCAGCAAGCAATGGGCCCCGCAGCCTGGTATGCGCTGGCGCTCTCGCTAGATATTTAGGCTGACCCGTCCTGGTTATTTTTTGTGGACTAGGGCGTGCGGGCTTGGGCGCCAAGGTGCAGGCTCGGCCGCGCCATCTCCCGCCTGCGGTATTCAGGTCGTGGGCATGGCTGGCCCAGTCATCCTCTTGACCCGTCGTGATGTTTTTAGTTAGGATCCTGGTCATTTGTTGTGTGGACCGAGGGGTGTGGGAGTGGGCGCCAAGGCGCGGGCTCGGCTGCGCCATCTCCCGCCTGCAATATTCTTGACACCGGCCCCAGGTGGGGGAGGAGGTAGTGCGGTAGACGCGGCAAAAGTCCATAATAAAAACTAAAATACACGCAATTCACAGGGCTTCATCTTGCCGTGAAGCACATCGTCGGATGCGACTGTTGGGGTCATCGGTCTACGCTGCACGTGGGGTGTACTTTTGAGGATATTAATTGGCCACAGGTTTAGCAGACGTTTTCTATGATAATGGTGGTAGTGACAGCAGAAAGGGCGACAGGGATGGCCACTTTCGGCATATTGGCGGTCAGCTGCGGAAATATACTTTTCCTTGAAAAAAATCACGCGCAAGTCACCGTCCCTGTGCCCGCAATGCCGGGGAGCACCTGGAGGAAATCGCCGGCCATGGGGGTCGAACTGCTGACGGGGGGTCAGTGTCAAAAGCGTTGTCCTCCTTCCAGGGGAGAGACCGTCCTCTCGGTGTAGCATGCATGGATAGCTGTTCCTTCCAATCTTAGCTAAATTGCGACCCTGAGAAATGAGGCGAAATTGGGATGTGCGGGCGAGTTGCTTGAGTCCATCAACATTTCTGTCCAACAAGTCGCACTTCGGTTGACCGATAATCCAATTAGTCGCAGCTACAGTGGGTGAAGCGTGTCAAAATTTACGAATGATTGCCAATCACTCGCAAACCGACACCATTTCATGAGTCAAATGTCTATGTTAATTAAGAACAAGTTTGAAAGAACTTAAAAGATACAAGAAATATGATAGGCAGTGTTGCGTTGTAAAGTGTCGATTTATTTTGAAAAGCGAAATATCCCAAAAACGTCAGAAATGGCTCTTATTTAGTAAACTTCATTTTTAAATGCATAGAATGTATTCTCATACCAAAAACATGGTAAATAGGAAAGTAGACATAAGATAACGTCTATTAATAGTGTTTTTGGTGAAGTTTACATCGAAATATCATTTAATAAGTAGTGTGATTTCTTATATGACGGTTTGTCAACTGCCTACATTCTGAGTGTAGATTCCAAAACAGTTTTCCAGGAAGCAGTGTTATTTTTGGCGCGTATAAATTAAATGAGATAGGGTTCAACAAGAGAAGCTGGAATTTGCTTGATCTCACCGCTCGGGACGTCGTAGGAACAAACGTTTTTATGAGGTGACATTCCATGAGGCCGATCGGTGCCTAATAAATTTAAATAGGGCTGACTGGCCTGATCGTAAACATACCATTTTATGTTTATAGAGAGATAGCTTTTCTTCCGTTAAATTAATTTACACTTTTCGTTCGTTTTTGATTACGGTGAGTTTCAGATCGGCCTCGAAATGTTGCTGAATACTTCACGATTTTCAGTGCTTTCACCCGATCGTCCATAAAGACAGATACTGAATTACCTGTCTGTTACGAACTTTAAAATAAGATTATTCTTGAAGGCATTTACCAAACTGTGAGTGTTCGCGCGCCGCTTTTCACGAAGATGGTCGTTTGGGTCACGTGTAGAGACTCATTCGAGAAAAGTGGCTGTCCACAACGAAAGTCAGCAACGAATATGTCTTCGAACAATAAGAAAACTTTCCTTAATAATAAGCACTGTAGATATATCAGTCGGATTGCAAAAACCGCTACCGATGAGCCGTTGTTTCAGCCATCGGTTAGTAGACGAAGATGTTGACCTACGGCTTTTCAGACGTCAGTATGAGGACATTGTGCCCCCAGCCCCTAAGGCCTTTCCAGTTGGTCCTTAGGATTTCTGCTCTCTGTCAAGGTGAATCTGTGGAACCGATTATAGTCTTCATGCTGCTTCATACGTCTTGCAGTTCGACTAGAAGCCGAGCCTCATTGACGCTTAGTCCGACTCCCGGAAAATGCTAACAGGGCTTGTAAAAGGCACGCTGATTGAAAGTGCATGCTTGGCTGCGAAGGCAGCGCGCTACGCACCCAGTGGCCATACTTTCTCCTTGCGATTGGGTGAAGTTTTGCTAGGTGCCTGTTCTGTGGATGGTGGCGCCGTAAGCGTGTGTGGTGTAGCGGTTAGCATGGCTGCCTTCCAAGCAGTCGATCCGGGTTCGACTCCCGGCACACGCAGGCCTCCTTTTCTTTCACTCCCTTAGACGTATTTTTTGCATCCATAATTGGTGAGGAAATGCACTCACGTGGGTCAAGATCTCTCGGTGTTTTCTATCCTTGCTTCAACACTTGGAGCATGAGCGACTTACGTGCGGACAGGAGTGGACTACACTGTAGGACGCCATTACACCTCAAAGACCCGTTGGGCGGCGCTGACAGAGCAGTTTACGTTCAAATTAGACGAACTGCCACCGTTTTCCGAGGCATGAGGAAAAAGCAAGTGTTTGCTTTTCATTAATTTATCTTTGTAGGTTTGTCCGCCAGCTCACCTCAGACGACGACGCTGACGACGAAGAAATAACTGCGCAAAGAAAGACAAGAGAATCAATTATCTGGCTGGCCGACGCCGCCACGCATTCCCCAATAAGAATCCGTGCACGAAAAGCCAACAGCTCGGAAAATACACGGTGGTGGAGAGACTCAAGCCAACCAACGCCACCAAGGGCTAGCCAGTACGCAGTTTTTTTAAAGTTTACTTAAGGCTGCCCCGAGAACCCAGCACGACCGCGTATGACAAACGGTTATCACAGGTGCAACAGGCTGTTGAATGCGTCCGGTAGGACTGCTCTGACTCTTGATGATATACGAGTAGAAAGAAAGTTGATTACGTGGCTGAGGAAATCGTCGAACTACGGGCTGATATGACGCAGATTAAAGCTACCATGGCCGAAATTTCAAAGGCAATTCAGGAATTACGTCAGCCAGCTGAAGCGAGGCCGCCTTCACTGAATTTGCCTCTGTGTACGAACGAGGATTACAAGGCATTCGTCAGTGAGCTTGAGAAGAATGCTGGTTTTGCTGAAGACGCGGTATGTACATATACTGACACATCTATTATTTGCATGGATTATAGATTAAACGTCTGGCGATTACTGACGGGCGAAATGAGCAAGAGTTTGTCAGAAATCTACTACGCACTCTACTCGGCCACCCCCTATGCCTCAGTTTCTGCTGGGGCGGAGCAAGAGATAAGCAGGCCTTCGTCGGCAGCCCCCTTTATGGCCTTGTTATTGGTAGGATATTTATTTTTAAGATTACTTGTTCAGCTGCAATTCGTGAACACGCCGCCTTCTCAAATTGCACCGTAGACACAATTCACAAGAGCACAATTGATTGGTTCCACGGTGCGCGTGACAGATACGGTGGCCGATCAAAGCGTAGAGACAATACCACGGTAAATTAATTGGCTCGTGTCATTATAACCTCTTTTCAGCTTCCCGTCAGCTACAATACAGCCGAACAGTATCTGATACACTCTCCTTCAGAGGACACTGCAAGTGTGCGTTTCTTTGTATCTTTAAAACCTGCCTATATTCGAGCCAATCAACTGCAGACTACCTTACATAGTAAAATATACTACTTAAATGCTGTGCTTCAATAGTATGTTTTTGACAGTTTTATAAATAGGACGCTCGGCTTTCCTTTTCTTGTAGATACCCGCTACCGACATGGTCGGCTTACCAAATATGTCCCCTGAGGAAGCATGAGCGTTTGTACATTTTAAAATTTACCTTTTTCGTTCAATAAGTTTTCTTCAATCTATAAATGGCGTTCAAGTGTGC